AAAAAAAAAAAAAAAAAAAAAAAGTAAGTATATTTATGAATGATACAAGAATATTAACATAGTGCAGGAAAAAAAAAAAAAAAGATAAAATAGTAGGAAAAGAGAAAAAATAAAGAAAAAAAATAAAATTAACAAATATCTATATGTTAAAATAATGGATATACATCTTCAAGAAAGTCAAACAGGAATTAGATTTAGTTGGAATTTATGGCCACCTACAAAAAATGAGGCATCAAAAATTGAAGTTCCATTAGGTTGCCTATATACTGTTTTAAAAAGAACAGATGATAGTAGTGTTAAATTAGTCGAATATGAACCATTAAAATGTAAAACTAGTAATTGTATTTTAAATCCATATTGTAATATTGATTTTAGAAATAAAACATGGACTTGCCCTTTTTCCAATACAAAAAATCCATTTCCATTACATTATGCTGAGCATATTTCAGAAAAAGTATAATAATATATAAACACCATATATATATATTAAAAAATATATAATCATTATAATTTATGCATGTATTCATTTGTTTTAAAATTATATATATATATATATAAATATTTTTATCTCCTAAAATTAAATTCATATATATATATATATATATGTGCCTATTTATTTTTAGAATTTGCCAGCTGATGTTATGTATTCAAATATAGAATATATTCAACCATCTAATGTTGGAGATATACCACCACCAACATTTTTATTTGTAATTGATACATGTTTATTGGAAGAAGAATTAGAGCAATTAAAAGATTCTATTCAGCAATGTATTAGTTTAATGCCAGGTGATGCATATATAGGAATAATAACATTTGGTAATATGTGCTATGTTCATGAGATTGGTTTTCATGACTGTTTAAAATCTTATGTTTTTAAAGGAAATAAAGATATTTCAGCTCAAGAATTACAAAAACAATTAAATTTAGGAAGTAGAAATGATCCACGTAGTTCCACTACTTCAGCATCTGCTCGTAGATTTTTACAACCAGTAAGTGAATGTGAATATAATATAAATATGTTATTAGAAGATATACAAAAAGATAATTGGCCAACTCCTCCAGATCAAAGAGCGAAAAGATGCACAGGTGTTGCTCTTAGTGTAGCAATAGGATTATTAGAATGCTGTTGTAATCAATTAAGTGGAAGAATAATGATGTTTATAGGAGGGGCTGATACTACGTCTCCAGGAAAAATTGTGGATACTCCATTAAGTGAATCAATTAGACATCATTTAGATTTACAAAAAGAGAATTCTAATGCTAGACATGTTAAAAAAGCTTTAAAATATTATATGACACTTGCTAATAGGGCTGTTGCATCTGGTCATGCTATTGATATTTTTGCATGTTCATTAGACCAAATAGGTTTGTATGAAATGAAAGTTTGCTGTGAAAAAACGAATGGATTTATGGTAATGGCTGATTCTTTTTCTATGAATGTATTTAAAGATTCTTTTAAAAAAATATTTGAAACTGATTCAACAGGTTATATAAAACATGGTTATAATGCAAAACTAACTATTATATGTTCAAAAGAATTTCGTGTATGTGGTGCTATAGGTGCATGTTCAAGTAATAAAAAAACAGCAAACTATGTATCAGATACTTGTGTAGGAGAAGGAGGAACATGTGAGTGGACTATATGTGCTTTAGACAGACAATCTACCATTGCATTTTATTTTGAAATCGTTAATCAAAATCTTGCTTCATTACCTCCAAACAGACAAGCATATTTACAATTTCAAACATTATATCAACATCCTAGTGGAAGGAGAAGGTTACGTGTAACAACAATTTCTTATAGATTTGCTGAACCAAATATTGCAGAAATATCTCAAGGTTTTGACCAAGAGACTGCAGCCGTTTTAATGGCAAGATTTGCTGTTTTAAAAGCCGAAACAGACGAACCTATTGATGTCTTAAGATGGTTAGATAGAAAACTTATAAGGTTAGTTAGCACCTTTGCTGATTATCAAAAGGATGATGTTAATTCTTTTCATTTATCATCTGAATTTTCCATATATCCGCAATTTATGTATCATTTGAGAAGATCCCATTTTTTGCAAACTTTTAATGCAAGTCCTGATGAAACAGCATATTATAGAACCATTTTGTTAAGAGAAAACGTTATGAATTCATTAATTATGATTCAACCAGCATTATTACAATATTCTTTTGATTCTCAAACTCCTATACCCGTTCTATTAGATGCACAATCTTTAAAATCAAATGTTATTCTTTTATTGGATTCTTATTTTCATATTGTTATATGGTATGGAGAAATGATTTATCAATGGAGAGAACAAGGGTTTCATGAAAAGCCGGAATATGAACATTTCCGGCAATTACTTAACGCACCCCATGAAGATGCAAAATCTATATTAGAAGATCGATTTCCTATACCGAAATTTGTTTTATGTAATAGTGGAGGAAGTCAAAGTCGATTCTTATTAGCAAAAGTCAACCCATCTACTACACATAATTCTTTAAGTGGAAGCACATTCGGAACATCAACTAACGAATCTTACATAATTAATACAGATGATGTTTCTTTAAAAATATTTATGGACCATCTTGTAAAGCTAGCTGTTCAAGCATAAACTGTCATTTTACACATAATTTATATTTGTTCATACAAAAATCAATTATTCACATATAATATTATTTGTTCAGATAAAATTAACCAATTATAAATTTTGTATTAAGAAAAAATATATCGAAAATTAAGAATAAGAAAAAAAATTTATATATTTATTTTTATTAATTTATTATAATGATTTTAGAAAGAAAAGGTATATATATATATATATATATATTTTTCATTCTTCAAGGTTATTTATATAATGAAAATTCACAAGATAAAAAGTAAAAGAAAAAATTTATTTAGTAAAAATTATAGTAAGATGAAATAAAATTCCCAACTAAAATAAGATTTATACTATCATGTATCTTTATATATATACTTATTTTTTTCACCTTTTTCACTTTTTTTTTTTTTTTTTTTTTATTTACATACATTGTTTTAATTTTTTTTTTTTTTTAAAAAATATGCATCTAAAAAAAAAATATCTGATATGCAGAATAATATTTCTGAATAAAAATGGTATATAATGTTCTATTTGTGTTGTAAATATATATATATATATATATATATATATATATATATATATATATTAAAAATTTTGTGTTTTTTTTTTTCTTTTTTTTTTTTTTTTTTTTTTTTTTAT